GGGAAAAAATATTATTCTTTTTTTTCAAAATGTTATTTATCTCTTTTGCTATTGTTTTCAATATTTCACGAGAGACTGAAAGACTTTTAATTCGTTGTGCACAGAACCATTCATATAATTTTGCCTCGCTGTAACCGATGATCATCTTTCTAAACTTCTAATCAAGTCACATAACGATAAGAAAAAAAAAATGACATAGTAACTGTTTCATCAGAAAACTGGGGTTAGAAATTTAAATAACATTGTAACAAAAACGAAATATGTTCATCTTTTAGGATAAATTATATTATTTGTAAGCCTTAGAACAAAAAACAAAACCAAGAATAAAAAGTTTTAGTTGTTCACATAATTGAATTATCACCTTCTTCACTCTATAGAATACCACGTATTAAATTTTTCGGCGATTTTTTTGTTCACATAATGGGATGTTTACTTAATCAACCGAGCGTATACTGTATATATAAAAATAAATAAATAAATAAAATTTAAAAAGATTACAAATAATTAATCCAATCGTTATGTTGTTTATTCTATTGTCTATATTGCAATAATTTCTGCCGATCATTTTTCTGTAGAGGTGGGCTACATTCTCCGTGTCCGTCTTGTAATTCATACTTTTATTTCGCGGTATTTACACGATATGTAGCATCTCTAGTGTCATTCTCTATGTATAATTCCTCTATTCGCTCAATAACTCTGCCTGTTCAAAATCGGCCTCGTGTGATTTTATTGTACAGTGGGCAGCAAGCAGAGTTTTGTGTTCTAAAAATTGTTTGTTTCACAATTTTTGGTCCGATCTGTGTCCACTGATTCTTGTTTTTAATTTGTTTTTGGTGGTTCCAATATATGTATACCATGTCGCATTTTTTTCTATCATAACATCGCAATTTTTTGAATTTTTCAGTTAATCCCGGAATATATGTCATTCATTTGTAAGCTTTTGGTTCTTTTACTGGTCTTTCCTTTTTATCGTTTTCTTTGTTTTGTTTTGAATAAAAGTTGTTTATTAACCCTCTACTTGTTCTTGATGGAAAGTCATTTTTGGTAAGTATTTTCATAATTTTCTTTTCATTCGCCTTATGAAACATTGTGTCACTTGTTAAAAGTACTTTCCTCACAAAATTGTTCGCTGTATTGATTATTATATTCCTAGGATGTTTTGAGTTAGAATTGATCAGTCTTTCTGAGGCTGTTTGCTTCTGATACCAGTCAATTTTAATTGGTAATTTGGTAATTTTTTATTTTCTGACAACACGCTGCATAAATTGCAGTTTGTCTGACTTAACCCGAATCCTTCTTAAAATGATGCAAACCAATAAATGTTTCCGAAAAATGGACTTCTAAGTGTTGTTTGCATTCATTGTTGTATTCATTCATATTTAAATATGCACAAATATTTTATTTTAAATAATTTTATACCATCAACGTTTGCATGTGGTTTCCTGCTGTTGTATACAAAAGTATATTCTTTGGATGATTGTGTTGCATGTTCCGCATGCTGTCACTCAAAACGCATGTGTTGCTGCCTCAGCATACTGCAGTATTTTTGCTTGAGCGCATTGACCCGAAGGAAACAGTTTAACGCAATGCCAAATGTGCCATTCTACATGTGGCAGAGAGCACAAAAAATGCAAACTTTCCACAAAAAGTCCTTATGCGAGTGTATGCACTTGATATAATGCTTCTTTGTGGCAGGCTTTGTCAGTTTTGCGAGTTCAAAGGCTTAAAAATTGTACGGCATTGCAGCAATTTCGTTATTTAAACTTCGCTTGCAAAGGCAATTTTGGAATTGCCATTGCTTTACAGCTTTATCCTTCCGCTTCCGCTTCCCCTTTCCGTCCCCATCCCCGTTCCACTCTGGATTTTGTATCTATAATTTCTCTGAATTAACTGCAACTTTTATTTCTTATAGCCTTGATGATGGCGAGAGTGGAGTGAAGGTGAATTTAATTTATTTATGCGCTTTGTGCCACAAATTGATTCTTCAGAGTTCAGTGTCAATTGAATGAAATGAAAATATTTGTCAATTCCACAATCTTTGTTTGCAGTTTTTAATTATAATTCAATGCCGATGGCTTTATTGGCAGTGACTAAGAAAATGGAATGAATTCATTTCAGAATGAATAGAAATGGTTTTATGTTCTAACATTCGCAAACGTTTTTTATATATAGTGCTTTATATATGAGGAACATTGATATATGTTATATATGAATATATAGGAGTTATTGAAAACTTTTAACTAGTCACAGTTGAAATAAATTATAATTTTTATTCTGGCAGATTAAGCTAAAACAACAATAAAATACAAACTAATACATTTTTTTCATTCTCTATTCAATATGTCAATTCAATATGAATGTCACAAAGAAATAATGAGAAAAAATATTTCAATTAAAAATTTAAGAGTAAGAGTAGCTTAGTTTCGTTTTTTTATGACGCAGCATTAAATACTTGTTAATACCTTCACTATCTGCATATATGTATATTATGTTATATGTTATAATATACAAGAGATTTCATTTCAAAGGCTGATTTCTTGATAACAAATAAATCTAGATACATATATAGAAGAAAACCACTCTATAGACATATCTTGTATGTCCAAAATTATCTACCCGAAAAAAACTTTCAGTCAGAAAACCTTTAGACTGAGAGTCGAAAAAGGTATAATTATGTATTTCACTTTAGAGATTGATTGCAGGAAAACAGAGCTTGCTACATGGAAAACACTCATTTACTATCCAAATTAAACAAATCTGCCTTTAAAAATAATAAAAACCAAAAGCAATTTATTGTCGCAAACCACATTCATCAATCTGATTCATTAATTTAATCTTTGTGCAGTTTTTCCTCACACGAATTAGTCGAGATTGTGTTGGTTTCAATCTTTCTTAAGTTAAATAAAAACATGCAATTAGTTAACAATGCCAATGGTTACACTGCCACACGCCATTCAACTCAATACTTACATTCAGTTCGATATACATTCATTCCATTTAGTAAATATTGTAGATATAACGAATAGCGCACACAGTGTATAGTTACTTATATATAACATCACTATTTACAAGTACTAATGAACGCAGTGTCCTTGAGCTATTTACCCAGCCCCAACTCTGATGCCGAGCTTGAGCCCAACAACGCCAGGACACTGCAGTGTTTCCGTTTAAAAATCTCAACACAAAAGTAATTTCACTATACAAATTAACAAACATCAACGCCGCATGAAATTTAATTTTTAATTAACGCAATTAATTCAACCTTCATCAAGTATCATTAGTAAATAGCATCAGCATTGTCGTTGGTGCTTGCTTTCACTAATTTCACTAATTAAATTAAACTAATACTGGGAGATCACAGCCGAAACACGCATAAGACCAATGCAAAAATGTTTGCATTTAATAAATTTCAGAGAACTTCCGATTGTCAATATATAGTATAGAATACATAACAAATCATTACTCTTCAATATACTCCTCAGCACAACAAAATAATATGGAAAAGGATTTTTCCATATCATGCACCCCTGGCATTTGAGCCGCACAACGCCTTATATAGACGTTTTGTTTAATGAGCCATAACTCGTGTAAATTTTAATTTCAAATTGACTGGCATTTTGACAGAATTGGCATTAATAAGGACATTTAACTCTTCCTCAGCTGCAGCCACTATAGCCAGCTGCTATAGCAACAATCATTTAAGCAACAGAAACGAGAACTACTAGTCCAGAACTACACAGTATGTATTGGCAGCAGCTAACAGGATTCTCATTTCAAAAAAAAAAAATAAATAAAACTTTTCGAAGTGCTTCTTTCTCAGTCATGCAAAAAGCTCAAATTAAAAAGTTTTGGACCTATCCTTGCGGCTCATAAATGTCCCTTGTCAGGCACTTAATTTGTTTCCTACAAGAGAATTTACATTTTAATTACGAAATTAAGAAAAATTGTAATTGCCAACTGCCTACCAGAAATAGGAATATGAAATTTATGCTTTGTTGCTGCAGTCTAGCCTAGAGTCTATCTACGCTAATTAAATTGTCAATAACTGAAATGAAGTCGGAGATGTAGTACGAAAATTAAGAGAAAATTAATGGAGCAGATGAGTGCCACGCAAATTCCAAATTGCGAAAATCACTTAAAATAGTCTCGAAAGCCTCTTTCACGGCATTAAGTAGCTAACTTAATGCACTTTGCTTGCATTCAAAATGATCAACATCAATTAAAACATTACGAGTAAAAGCAAAAACAGTAAGTACTACTCTTTTTTAATCCAAACCCTCACACCAAGTGAAATATGCTAACGTGCAACTGCAAATGAGGATACAGGGTGGCGGATAAAGGAAGAGGATACGCACTTACGCAGCAATTGTTACACTTAAGCCTTAGCTACTCTACTTGCGGGCACATGAAATTGTAATTAAAGTAGCGTGGCGTACACTTAATTACATTTTAATGGATAAACCCGAGAAATGAAACTTTCAATTATTAAAGCTTTAAGCCGATTTTGCACTTCATTTGAAACTACGGCGACTAACCAATAGTCAGTCCATGGAAATTTTTTCATAATTTTTATACATATTCGTATTGGATGTCCTTCTGTAAATTATTTTTAGAAAAATTCTATATATCAGCATCGAATTTAGAGCATCAAATTCAATGCATTTCAATGCTAGATCAACTGTTTTAAGCAAATTATATATATGTAATAATATTGTTAATAAATATAATAAGAATGGTATATCTGTCGACATGCATATTTAATAACACTACGCGACTTATTTTACACTATTCTAACAAGGTCAAATTAAATAAAGCACAGGTATATTAGACCTCTAAGCCCGAATATAAATACAAATAAGGATGGTGATATTGACGAATAACAGCATTTTCAACTTTAACTATACATTAAAATAGTGAAAATAGAAATTTTAATATATGTTCGAAACCAGCCATTAAACTGGAGTAAAGAGTTTATAAGCATTACTATTGTTTAAAACCAATCAAAAGTCATCAGTTTTAAAGGTTAATGCGGCCAATTCACGAGATTTTGTCCAATATAGTTCAGGAAACTGTTTCTTCTAAAGTAAAGAAAATAACATTTCATAAATCATACGTAAAATTTATTATTAACTAATATTAATATGAGGACACTGCAATTAAATTGTATTGGAATTCCTCGAAAATGATAAATCATTGGATTTTATGAACCGGTAATCACTGTATTCAAAAAAAAAAATAAACCTAATGTTAATATGTAATTTAAAAATTGCTTCGATTGCTTTCTAAAAAATTTTCCAGAGAGTGATGAACATGGTTGAAGCTTTATCAAGAGCGATATCAAGAGGAATGGGGCTTAAAATGATGGCTGACAAATATTGTTTGGAATTATTCACAAATAAGCATACTTTTGTATTATTAAGAATGTATGAGGTATCAAAATATACTTAACAATAATGCTTAACTTAGAAGAACTGAAACGCGATCCAAAAACCGTCAGTACTCTTCCGACCAACTAAACTAAAATGAAACGTCTAAACTAAGAGTAGTGGATACACACATGAAATGGAATAAAATTTTTAGTACATATAACAACTAATAAATTACTGCTCGCAGTTCGATGTGTGATAAAATTTGCTCAAAACCGTAGGTTTCCAAGATACAGATTAAAATAGTTAAGATGATAAGTCCAATTTAACAATATGTGGAATATACTATATATTTTTCTATTCTAGACTCAATATGGCTTTGTACAATTGTTGTTTTGAACTACTGTTACGAGAAAGTACAAAAACTTTATTATATTTTTGTAAATACTATATATACTATTGCGCATAGTACTATATATATATACAATATATGCGCAATAGTATTATAAATTTAATAATAATATAAGTTGCGCGCCGGGCTATTTATTTTTAGACAGAGCAAAATAGAACGCTGTTGTGTTTGGTGGTTGATTTTGTAACCTCATACAAAATGTATAAAACGATTGGTCAGATAAAGAATTTTTTCTTGCTTCATATTTAGTTAAAAAATAGGTCTCGATCAGTATTGGTAAAATAGGCGAACTTTAATAATAACTCTTAGGGTCTTAGGGTCTGCTGTTAATGATATAACAATGAGAATGTTCAAATGATGATATATGTTAAGTTTTAAGGGAAATTTCTAACTAATAGGTAGAAAACGAACGAGAGTTACCTATATGACACATCACCGTAGTTTTAGTACTCCTTATATTAAAGAGCATTAAAGTCTTGATCTTTGTTTTCTAGTGGTAACTTTCATTAATATGGACTATAGTAAGATTCTTAAAGGATTAATTTTTAGAATGTTTATGTAACTTCTTGTCAGTATTACAATTTTTCCCTTCAATTATATGATCAACTAATTAAAGAATTGGTTTCTCCCATATATTTTTTACTATTATATATGTGAATTATATATTTACTTGATATGTAAATGTTATTATTATGCTTTTCATGCGTGTTTTAGTGCATTTTTAATTATTTACTTTCTTAATTAGTTTAGACTATGTATAATAAGTGCATTGACACAAGACTTTATCATGCATTATCACGTGATCGTGTCTCATTTGATGCGTATTTCTGACTCCCAGAGTCTTTAGGTGTTGTGTTCAATTTATCTCCCTTACTTATACCTGACCCGAGCCGTCACATATGTATACATATAAACATTTATTCTTACAAATATTTTAATAGGGATGAAATGTAAGGGTTGTTTAGAAATGTAACTACTTATGCAGAAAGCCTTAGTATGGTACAAATGAGTATAGCATTTGCCAATTGCCAGCTAAACATCAAGATAAAAATTGATGAACATAGTTAATTAGAAAAATTAAAACTTAAAAATTTTATACTTTCGCTATCAATTAGGAAGTTTTCTTTGTATAAAATTAAAAGTCATAGTTTTACGAAAAGCAATAGTAAATTCTCGTCAAAATATATTGCAAAATGAGCTTTAACCGATTCCATGACTTCACTTGTTTAAAAAAGAAATAATATTAATATAATCAGGTCACAGCCACCAATGATCAATTCAGCTCCGAGGCTTTTGGTAGGTAATTAAGTTTAAATTATTTTTTCATAGAATATGAGGTTCATTTTTGACATGGTTGGAAGAGCTCTTAATAACCAATAACAACGTATCGGAAAATCGATTTAATTTAAGCAGTATTTTGGTGAATCATTCCGATCTCGGGCGCTCAGTACTACCAACTGGCGACAGCAAGTAACTAATCGGGTTGGCTGACGGAGGCTACTCGACGCGACCAATGACGATTCACGACTCACGACTCACGCGCTGTTTACTTAACTCCCTCTAAATGGATCTATTGGTGTATGGAAAAAGTTCCAGCTTTATTACAGATGTGATTCGTTCTATGGTTCAGATAACATTTTTGAAGTAGTCTTCTAACTAAACTGTTTTGTTCTTTTAACAGCTTTAGTCGTTTTGCATATATTTTGATAATCTTTTCTCACAATAAATTAAGTGGAATTATTGATGTGAATGACTTTGTTTTACCATTGATGGTTCCATACTACACACGCAATCTGTACTGACCATCAAGTGGTCAAGTGAATGAACTGGGTTATGGCTTATTAATTACTTTCTTTTTTCGAAGCCAAAATTACCACTGCAAGGAAAACGATTTGAGGCGATTACAGACAAAAAAATTATTGTGAAAACTGAATCAGGTGTAGGAACAGTTGTATTCCACTAGATAGACTCAATTTTGAATATAGTAAAATAAATTTGTATTGAATACTAATTTTTTTTGAATTTTATTAAATAATTCGGAACAATTTTTTGACATTATGTCAGTTCCTATTATTTTTTTCAAATGTATGTATTGCATACAGAGAAGATTGTTTCTTTCTCTTTCACTCTGTTAAAATAGATAGATGAATGAGAAGGAAGTAAATGTTTTTTATTAATTAAAACTAACTTAATTTTTATTAGTATGATTTGATGATAAATGAAAGTTAAATTAATTTCGAAAAAAACACATAATTTTGTTTTTCAATGCATTATACAAGTATCTCCCCTTGTTTTATCCAGAGAAGTTGTAAAAAAATACGTCTCATCCATCACATTGCAATAACCGGATACGTGGTACATATATAATATTAAGTAATTTATCTTCATATTAAATTGAAAGGATTTTATTAAAATTCGGTAAATAATTAAAAAAATTATATATAATGTGCTATACAAAAATTCTAAAAGAAACTTTCTTAGTGATGATTAGTGATGAAGTACAAATTGAACTGATGACGAATTTTCAGTTTTCGACTTCAAAGATGTTATTTTACAAATAGACTACTCTTGTAGTTTTAGCACATTCGAAGCTTTAGTTGTCATAAATGCCATAGTTTACATATATTTCAAATAGTTTCTCGTTATCAAATGCATAAATCAATTGAATCGTATTTTATTATATTATTTATAAATAAATCACAGCAAATCCATTAGGCATTAAGGCCAGTTTGTGTGTTTTTTTTGTTATGGTTGACAAAAGAATTTTTATAATTTCTTTTTAATTAAAAGTTAATAGCTCATCAATTAGTGTCATTAAAATAATTTATGAATTGCACACAGCGCAGACACATATACCCACGCCAGTCCACTTCTATCCGGCGAATAGCCCAAATAATGCATAATTTCGGCTATCAATTTATGCGCCAGAGCATTTTCAGCGCTTAAGCATACGCTTAAGCCATGTGGAAATTGAATAAGCCACAATAAATTCCAAATCAAAATAAAAATCCAAAAAAACGTTACGAAAATAAATTTACTGCATGCATAAACTAAACCTTCAGTTTTATATATCAATGTACTTAGATACATTCCCATACATACGCTCCAATCTCTGGTATATTCACTCGTATATTCACATATTCATTATGTGTGTGTTGGTCTGACCGTCCATGTGTACATATGCAAGGATGAAAAAAATATCGAAAATATTTTGGTATGTGACAGTAAACCCAGAATAAATAGAAAATATTATGATTTATGCGGCAGAAAGTAAGCAGTAGGTATTCTGGTTATTATAATCCTTACAAATGCAAAGATGTATGTGGCCACCGCAGTTACTACGGCTGTGTCTTTTCGGAATTTGTTTTATTTATTTCTTAAATAGTAAAAAATTGTTAGTTATTTTTCTGGTTTACTACAATGTCTTGCAATAAATAGAGTTTCTGCTTATCATTTGGCCTGAGGTGCCGGGAACAGCAGATAACTATTGCATTGGCTGAATAATGATATTGGCAAATGAATCAAATATATTTTTGCGACACATAATAATCATTCAAGTTAACAAAGTTTAAAAGTAACATCGTATGTATAACTTTGGTTATGGTCCGAGAATTATATTTTGCTGCACTTATTAAAGTGTTGATAACGAAAGAATATCTTTTCTCACACCACATCTATCGATTGCAGAGCTGAAGTTCGCAGTTGGAAAAGTCGTCTTCGAAGACATTGTCTTCGAGACAGTCTTTTAGTTCAATTTAAAAAAATTGATTGAGTAGCTAGCGTAGAGCGCAGTATTTTCAATCTAAAGCGTCCGGTACGCACGACTTGAACGCATCCAGTCTTCCATATATGTACGTAAAACATCTTCGACGGCATTTGGCTAATTTGTTCGCAAATGTCCTCGAAGACATTTATAGACATTTGGATCAATCGGTCTGCGGGCATGCGTCGATGTCTTTGAGACGTCTTCGATGACGGATCCATCTGTTTCCTACTGGGTTCTTATAGCCAAAATTATATTTTATGCAACCCTTTAGAATTATAACAGCAAGGATTATAAACAACTCTATTTAAATTTAGCAAACGCCTGTATCAAGCCCATGACAGCAGTATACCTACGAAGACAGATGCACTATTAAGTAAGAACATCTGGCAATTAGTCCAAATAAATAAAATTATTTTTCTTTTTACAGGTTGAATAAAAATTTGATCAAATTCTAGCTCAGAAGAATCTACTACTGGAACATTTATTATATTGTAGCAATAGTTGCATCAAACTACATAAAACAATCGATATTTTAATTAATCTTTTACATTGACATAAATAATGGTGAGATGTATTAAGTGATAGAGCGACTGGTCATTCTTAATTTTTAATAAATAAATAACTGTAGTGAATATTGGAGAAGCTTGGTGGACTCTTACCGCTGTTTCAGCAGATTTATGATCCTGTCACCCATCGATACGCCGTAGTCGTATATATTAAGAAGAAATAGTTTAGTAGATTAAAAGTTAACCACACATTAAACGGATATTATGTATAGTTGATACCATCAAAATAAATCAAACGCACGTTTATACGGCAAATCCAATAAATTTATCGATTTAAAATGCAAATTGTTCACTATGAAGTAAATGCATAAATAAAACGCAACGGAGCGGAATCGGGACGAAATATTTTGTAATTGAAATAATCTTTTTACGCTAATGTATTTGCGTAGATGAACGGGACGGAAATAAACTGACGATTTAATTGCGGAAGAAGCTGTGTAAGTGATTTGAAAGTTAATTGAATCATCAAATAAAATCAATTTCATGTTTAATTTTAGCAGCAATTATAAGAGATGGCAGATTATTTATTTTTAACAATGTTTAACATATTATCGGCTAGAATGTTCCCATTAAATGTTTTTAAGGAAGGTAGAATTTCAAATGGAAAGAAAACAAACCAAACAAAAAGTGAGTGAAAAACTTTTTTATTTGATATCTATTTTTATGGAATAAAACGTTAGTATTGTTTAATTCCATTTTTTCATAATTTTTTGAATATTTAAGAGTAAATAGCAAAGATATAATAATCAATGTTTGATTGCAAGGCGCAAATGTTTATTGAATTGTCTGCTTAAAGCAATCACTTTAAATATTTCCACAAAACTTCTTTTCGCGGCAAATCATATGGTCTTCAATGCCTCACTTCTTGATGCAAAATAGTCATCGAAAACTTACTTATTATTTTTATTTATTCCATACTCTATTAGAAGCTTAAGTATACAACAAATGATTTTCGTCTAACTGTATTCTGTCTGAGCTCCTTACACGATTTGCCAGATTCAGTGTTTATATATAGCCCACGTCATGTAGTAGTGGGCCGGCCTGCCTCTACGCCGGGTTCATTAGGAGTTTCACGTTTTTTCATTTTCGGATTTCAATATTTAAAGAGGTTTGGCTGGTTTGCCTCCAGAGTTCTTCATTTGATATCGTTCTCAGCCACCATATATTCATTAAATTTCGTAAACAGTGGTTGATGTAAGTTTGTAGTTTCGCTTTAGTTTCATTTATTATGGGCCATATTTCTGATCCATATAATAAGACTGTTTTTTCGCTTACATTAAAAAACTTGCTCATTATTTGCTCACTTGCTCATTATTTCTCTGACAATATAACATTATGCACATTTCCAGTAAAACAAAAAATTATCCAGAGTATGTTTACCTAGACTTTCCATTTTCTTTATTTTTATACGAATATAGAATAGCGCCAATCTATAAAGAGCACAAAAAACACAACGTTTTTAGGCTACATCGGTGGCTGATGTATCGTCTATTCATTTAAATGTGCTTTTTAATAACAAAGCTACTGAGATGATATATTTTGAATACATACTTTAATTATTTAAAAACATTGATTAAAGGTAGTTTTTGCATGACAATTTGCCAAAGGTGATAATAGCAGATCAATTATCTGTCGTCTAAGTGCCATTTTTATTAAAAAATACGCAATTAATAAAAGAATAAGAAGATTTTGATATTGACCGATCGAAGACTGCAAGTGCAAGAGAATACGTAAGAGGTAAACATATCATATAGATCTACGGTTTTAATTTTCCATACTGGCTTTGGTATCAAAAACCTATTTTTAATGTCTGTACTGCCGTTGATCACAATTAAGTACAAATGCAAAGATAAATTAAGGTTAGTTCCATCACAAGACGTCAGATATCAAATAACATTCGAGTTTTTGCAAAAACAAATCGGCAAATGCTGATGCCGAAGTTTTTTTTATTAAATAACGATCAAGTAACGATTTGCTTCAGCATGAAAAAACAACGGTCAACGTATATTATTACAATATATTCGACCATTTCATCGACTTTAACAAAAATAACAAAAAAAACTACTGAGTAGCGGAGTCGCCATGGTCAAAACTCATGCATTGTATTATGTATTATTCCTTCACCCACTAAATTTCTCAGATTAAACTATCAATAATTCTTTTCTATTCCGAAACGTCATAAATTGTATCGGCGAAAATAGATTTGGCTAGAATAGTGAAGTCTTCGCTAAAATAAAAGTTGGTTATAAGAATTTTGACAATAAAATTTGTTTCGGAATGGATCAGAAACTTAGGGAAATGTTGGTAGAAGAGAACAAGCCGAAAAGAGCCAATGTTTAGAAACAATATACTTTGTGCAAAGGGCTACTTACGTTTTAATCCATACAGAATTAAGAACAATAAGACTGTGGAGAACTTGGAAATGGATATCTAATGTCAACTAACGTTAAAATAATGTACTTACTCTGTCAAAGTGCATTTTACTTACATATTGAAACATAATTTTTTTAATTCCTTGATTTGCTCTCTCATTTCATATGCATTTTGGTTATTTTATGTGGTTTATTCTGCACATTAATGAACTAAATGCTGTTATTCTGTCCTTAAATATATGTGTTATTTGAATCATAGCATAAAAAGCGACAATTTGTTGTGCTTTAAACTGTCAAAATTCAAAAGTGACTTTGGACCTGGTTGATTGGTTGGTTGGTTGGAGTGGCACGCCATTACATAACTTACATTTTTTGCCGTTTTGCTACCACATTCCTCGTAAGAACCATAGTATAGAAGAGTACGGACTAAATCCATCCCGCCGAATTTACGTAATTTAATAGGTCTTTCATCTTCACCGTTGAGCAGTCTGATAGACTGTCAAAGAAGTATTTTCCTAAGAACCTATATCTGCTGGACGCTAAGGCCGGGCATTCACAGAGAAAATGTATTGTTGTTTCTTTCTCCTGCGGACTTTGGACCTACTTACATAAGTTGTATGTGGTAACATTTGTGAAAGGACATTTAAAGAAAATATATAAAAAAATATAGGTGCATTGTTAAGATCACGGTTTTGTTAATTAATTGATGCTTTTCAAAGTAAAAAGTAAAAGTATTTGTGAATACTTTTTAAATGCAAAACTTAAACCACACTTATCTTTTCAGGCTTCAAATTTGTAGTTTACTTAAAATTTTGCTTTGATTCAAAATAAAATGGCAATTACTCAAATGAACGAACTTACTAATGAAATTATTTTAAATATTAAATCAAGCCTGTTTATGTAATTCGGAGCAGTCTTTATGGTGTTATAGATTTTATTGTTACCCAAAACAATAAAACAAGCAAACTAAATAAGGATTTCCTTTCGGAGTAAAACATCCGCTTCCGGCTGGATGTTGCTGCACAGTTACAGATAGTTATCTGAAGCGACGGATGTACATTAAATACACTTGCATTTGTACATATACACACTTACAATGCTGTGTGTATTTAGGTGTATTTAATATGTGTTGGTGTTTGCCCGGTTGAGGATGACTTCTGAAAATGTGGCGCACAGCATTAACTGAAAACCGCCAAGAAAGCAAACAATTCAAATGATGACAAACGTGCCAAAAGGCGCTTGTCTCGTGGTATGGTGACTGGTGACTTCAATTTTTTCTATGGTGACTTGGTTACTAGACCGCAAAGTGTTTGGTTAATGTCTT